ATGTATCGTATCGCCATATTCTTGCCAATACACAGCCCTAATAATGACACCACTCCACTTGGAGAAGTTGAAGAACTTTATGACCTGAGCTGGACCTGGGCCCGTATTTATCAAACTTCTTAGAGTTGAATTTTAGACTTAAGTGCTGAAAGTTTCCTATGTTTCCTCCTCCTCTCAGACTTAAAGCAAGTTATCAGAACTTTTTATTTATTTTTTAAGAAAGAAAGATATCGTCAGATTATCGATATCAGCAAATGAAAAAATAAAGATTTTTTTTGTCCATATCGCCCGGCTCCAGACTAACGTGGATATTTCTTTATCTTGACATTTCTCAGAATCTTCTTGAACATGAAATCTGATGCTGTGATTGGTTCATGCCGGGGTTTTTGTAACGACATCATCCGGGATTTTGGCACAGCAAAGTGTCGTACATCAGCTCTGAGACTGACACTTAAGATTTACTGTGACACTTCACTTAAAGTCAGACTGAGACGCTTGATATCTCTCAGCTTTTAACTAAYAATCTTTTTACACTTAAGTCCATTCTTAACAGCATTCTTAAGAGGAATTTTAAGATGTTTGATAAATATGAGCCTCTAAAGTCTCTTTTTTAAGCAAACACTGACAATTCTCAATAAAAAGCCTTTACAGAATCAAGTCCAACATTTTGGATTTTGATCCTTACCAGTTTTTTATGGATGCTTGTGTTATTTTTTAAAGTTTTAAATGGACTTGCTCCTCCTGCTTTAATGGATTTTATAAGAAAAGTGAAACAGTAAACACAGGAGCAGTGACCAGAGGAGATGTGARGTTCGGTGGCGCAGGACTATATTTGACCAAATGAGGGGACGAGCTCAGGAACTGTGTGTGGCACCTAATCCAGCTTTAAAAAKCCCTTGAAACATTGATTAAAAACTAACCAGAGATGCACTCTTATGTAAATTATTTTGTCTATGTTATTAGGGCGTCCTACCCTCACTGTAACTACATGTTTGTGTTTTAAAGGTGGTGTTTGTTTTAGTCTCTGCTCTTTGTTTTCTAAAATGCTTCTTGTTCTCACCTGCCTTAGAATAACAGATAAAGACTAGTTGTTCCAACTCTGGTGTATTTACATTGATGCTTKCTGCTGACATGTTGATTAATACCCATCATCCTAATTTGAATGAATGAATGAATGAATGAATGAATGAATGAATGAATGAATGAATGAATGAATGAATGAATGAATGAATGAATGAATGAATGAATGAATG